GGAAAGAATATAGTCCCTAACAAGGTTCTGGAGGGTGTCTTAAGGAAAGTGAACAGAAGTAGTGTCAGAATGCAACACTCGTTTAGTGATTCTGCAATACCAAGGCATTCCATTATTTAAAGCAAAGCACTAATTTCCTAAATGGTGACTGGGGTCAAACTTGTGATTGTTCTTGTGGCATGCTAAGCAAGTAAGCTAAATGACTGCTTTTAATTGTGGGCTATGACAGTATATACTGTCTCCTTTGAAGCTGATCAGGAAACCAGCGGTTTGTTTTTATTTTCTCATGGCTCACCTTTCACATTTTGCAGTTGTAGGTGTCAAACATTACAAAGTTAAAAACTAACAGAGCAATGGACAGGGTTGTTTGGAAGTTTAAAAATGCAAGATCTTAATTACTTGTAGCACTTTAAAAGACCCCTTAAAAACATAATTTAAAACAGTTCTACAAGTTAGCCCACTAACAAGCAGCGTCTTCATTAGTAGCACCTGTTCTTAAATAAAAGTTGAGCAGTAGCAGCAAAACTATTCAAAATAGATAGTTATTCCATTCTAATGGAACGTCACCTACACATTTTTTGTTGCAGTAGACATCTTAAAGAACTACACAAAACCTTTGCAATCTTTGAATGTGACAGATCCACTATAACAAAGCTGTAAATATTTCTTACGCTAAATGAATGCAGCCAGCATCATCATAATATTAGCAATATTATTTTTAAAGTAACTGCACATCAATATGTCATGTGTTTGTAGAGTCTAATAAGTATGCAAATTTTCAAAACATGTAAAGTTATCAGCACCATCCTGTATTAAAGACGTGGTGCAAATTCTGCAAAGGTGAATATATACCACTGATACAGCATTTGCTATGAAAAATTCAGTCGATTTTGGACACAAATATAAATAAAAAAAAAGTTGGCACATTCAGGAATTAAAGTGTCTGTGTTCAAGACTGTTATTTTAACATTGCCCTCAGATAAATGCTTTGAGTCTGAAGAAGCAAGTTGTATGAAAACGTTTCACATTAGTTAGGTTCTGGCGTTGTGCTTTTCCCCCACTACATGATTTCCATAGGCTCATGCACTTTGCACATCAGCAGTGTTCAGCAACTTTTGCGCTGCCGGTCAATCATTTGGCACATAAAGGTAAATATCAACTCTAAACAAAGAGGGCAGAACCTCTGTGAAGATTTGTTTCCTTTGTGGTTGTACAGACCAGCTGATATGTCTCCTCTCATTCCTTGTATGCCCGTGTGGGGGATGTGCCTTTATAGAAGATGTTTCTGGTGTTCTCTGGACTGCTCCCTCGTTCAGGGATTAAAATGATGTTACCTTTTCTTCGAAGTGTTGAGTCCCTGCTAGAAGAAATGGACAGGGTCTCTGAGCCAATCTCACTTCCTTCCACTGGTGTGACTCTTATTGTAGTGATACCATGATGGTGATGCTCGGTGTTATCTATATTGCTTCTTTTCCTGTCACCTGACCCATAACTGTCTTTCAAGGAGTCACAACTCTCAGAGTCTCTGTTGAGATCATTTAATTCATATGTCTGACGAAGGGTGATTTTTTCGGGTCCTTTCCATTTCCATGATCCACTTCCTTCACCTTCTGATGGCATCTGAATTACAGGTCTGTTATTTTCGGGATGGGCCTCAACTCTGACAATGCTGCTTGGCTCATGGTCTGTCAAAGTTTTGTATCTGATGGCTCCTGTACAAGTGACTGTGCTTCCCTCTGAACTCTTTGGACTGCCCTGAAGCACTCCTTGCTGCTTAGACATGGCTATTACTTGCATGATTCTTGGCTGGCTGTTGCTTCTACATGCGACGCTCTTCTCAGCAGCTTTCAGCCATTTAGCTCTAGCTGAACTACTTTTGGGTGATGTGTTCACATTCTCTTGAGTCTCTTCAGGAATATGTACTAACTGGGAAGAGCCAGGACGTGACTGAATAGAGACCCTTGGCCCACCAGAAAGACCGGAGTTGTTACAACCTGGTACACTACCAGGTTGAATTTTCAGGTATTGGCTACTTGGACCATGGTGATCACCATTTACACCCACTCTGGAAGGCTCTGAGCTTGACCTCATTTCTATAGCCCTTGGTGGTGACTGGCCAGATTCAGTCTCTATTACTTGCAGTGACAGCTTACGGCTTTCATTCTTATTCTTCCACTGGGAAAGCAGCTGTTTGGAGCGGGCAGAGTCCATAGATGCATGAATTGTTGCATTTCGTCTTGCTGGATCTTCCAAGGATGGTGTGTTGACTCTTGGCAGAGTGTTGCTGAAAGTTACCATGTTTTCCTTTCCCATTGGGCTTCGTGGTGTTATGATTTCTACATCAGCATTTGCTCTCTTGATGTTAGTCAGAGAACCTGAATCTCTGTGGTTTCTATTAAGGATGCTTTCTGAACGGTGAGAGACAATGCCATCAGTGCTGCTACCATTTTTACCTGGCAGGATTCTATTGGCATCTTGACTGAGGTCTGTCAAGGATCTTAGAGGTTCTCTGTGAAAATTTGGGTGAAACACATTCTCCTCACTCGGCAAGAAGTTCCCCACAGCATATAGGCCCTGATATTTGAACAGAATCATTAACAAGTAGTTATGAAAAAGAGAGATTTTTAGGTATCTTAACTACATTCTTCTGTCTTAAATATTGAGTGATAGAATTAGACCACTTTAACTGAGAGTTCCTTCCAAGTGTATCCTTATCTTTATATTCTAAATTCTCTATATATTCTCAATCTGGTAGGTAGAGGTCTTAGTAGGATAACAAGGGAACATATTTCTTGCCTATAAACACTTAAGGAAAGTATTTAGCCTCCAATGCTCTTCTTATTATAAAACAACAGATACTGCTGAAGAAAGAATATTTTGTTATGAAAATATAAAACTAAATATTTGTAGTCTACTGCGTGAAGATATTTAACATCTACAATACTGTCTGCTCTGATTTAATAATCTTGTTCCAGCTCAAGTTGTGCCGTGATTGTGCCCTTTTCCTGCATAATAACCATGTAGTACAATATCTACACGATAGAACAGTTTATCAGCTTTAAATCAAATGCATTCCAAGCTGTGCATATCTGTTACAAGATTTAAGTATACAGCATTTTCTTATTCAATATATTTATTGTAAAATGCTGTCATTTAAAGATTCCACTGAGAAAGTGTTCTATGAAAGGCTCAAATGTCTGACTCAGTCTTTTAGGTTATGTCCTTTTTAGAGTCATTTGTATTTTCACCTATCTTTCCTCTTATTGATGTTTAGTTTTAAGTGCAGATTTACTGACCGCTGGGTTTCCGAGACAATGTGCCTTTTAGATGTGTGTTGTCTTCCCCATGTGGTTATTGCACGACCTAACAAAGACCACACTTGTTTGTAGATTTCAAACATGGGAACAACAACTGCATTTATGAGAGTCTGCAACAGCTTAATAATTTGAAATTATATACTCAACAGAGTGCCTTTCTGCTCACAGCATAATCATAGAATCTGACTTAGTAACTTGTGGGTTTTTATTATCTTCTTTGGTTGCTGTCATTGTTGCCACTGTGAAATCCATTTTTTTTTCCCTGGTAACCTTTGTAGGCGACCTACATGTGCCTTAGATTATTACAACACAGAGAAAAGGGGGACAGATTATGAATTTATTATTATACTAAAATTCATTGTTGACTTCCTTGGGGGCCAAAAGCCGTCCCACTGATTGTTATGACTATTTTATTCATTGTTACATTGTCAGCAGAAGTTCCTTATTGCTTACAGGAACCTGGATTGACACAATCATGTTGGAGATGTATTACAAGCAGCAAGCAGAAGCATCCAACATTTCCTCCAATCAGATACAAACAAGCCTATCTTATGTGCATCTTTCCAACACCCTTCTGAAGTGCTCCATCTGTTTCAGTACCGTACAGATGAAGTACAAAGGAGTAACCTGACTCAGGTATCCTATTTCCCTTGCAAAACTTCCCCAAAAGCTCTAAAGAACCACAAGAGGTTGATATTATCTTTGATTTCCTTCAGGTTTAGTAGTTCACTCAGTGGAGTTGCTGTACAATAAACCATTTTTTTTAATGTGATGTGAGCTCACACTGGCAGCAAGTACTGGTTAATCCAGTATTTTCCATGTATTATGCTTTGAAGTGTGGAGTAGAAAATATGTATCTTAAAGAAAGTGCATCATGTTAGAGTTGTTTCTGCATGTAGTACTAGACTATTATATACCACTTGGTGCATTCTCATGGCACTTTGAATTGAAATACGTATTTGCTTTTCCCTGTTTCTTCTTAGAAGTGGTTACCCTGAACACCATCATCTTCAGCACATTTGGATTATATTCTTAATTATGGTACATTACCATGACAAAATATTTTCATTTAAAATACCAATACCCTTATTGTTTACATATGTTTTATTCTCTAAAATATAACAACATCTATGTATTTACCAAATAGAGAGCAATTCCTCCTCCAATGAGAAAGCCACAGTAAACATCAACTGGGTGATTCTTATATTGAGTGATTCGAGTCAGACCACATATAATTCCACAGATGATAAAAGCAAAGACCAAAAGTGGCTTCAGAAGTTTTGAGGAGTCTGTTAATGTAGAATTGAAGTACATCTTAAAAAAGAAAGAGATGAAGAAGCAGTTACAGAAACTGAAATTTACCTCAGAAGATATATGAATTTCTCACATCAAATGTTTCTTGGACACTTAAATCGCTGTTACACTAATGTTGAAGGTAATCAGTTTAATTTTGTTTAGCAGCCTTGTTAAAATCTACTCAGTTACTATAGGAAGATCTGAAATCACAAGGAATGGATTTCTGAAAGCAGAGGCAATGTTGCTTATTGATGTCAATTAGGATAAAGATTTTATGCCTAAATAATTTTCACACTCAGAACCTAAATGTAAACGTGACTAAGCAGTCCCTGTGTCAGAAACATAGAAGCCAGATGAAAGCAATAACTTATCATCAGATGCTTTAGAGAGCTATTTCTCAACTGGGGGTGAAAATGGGAGGTAAAGGGAGGCAAAAATACTTCAAATTTTCACTCTTTCTCAGGCTGAAAAAGTACTGACAAGTTCCTGGTATGCGTGCACTTCTATTACTTAGTTTGATTAGTGAGTTGCTGTTGTTTTTCCCACCCCTCTCTGGTTTTATAGCATGAAGGATGGAAAATTCTTTTTAAATTTCAAATAGGTGATCACTCATACATATATGGGCCCCCATACTGAAGAAATGTCAATGGTCAGATATGGGAAATCAGCTATAATCACTGAAGCATGTTCTAATATTTCCTGCTAATTACTGGTTTTTATTGCCTTGCTTTGCAGTAGCATCTTTGAGGCCTCAGAGAGTGGTTGTGCCTGTTCATCAATGATGCAATTCTATGGAGGTCAAATGAAACTAGATCACATAAAATGTTTGTGCCTTAATGCCTGAAGTTTAAAAACAATGAATCAAGTGAAGAGAGCAGCAAAGGAAAGATAAAACATGTAAAGGCTGATTTGAATGGTAAGTTAAAACCGTCACCTTATAAGATAAATAAGCATTGCATTTTATATGTGAATAACATGAGGCATTAAATACTTTAATAGTACAATGGATAATGTTGCTTCTTAACAAAGAGTGTGAAGCAGTCACATCTTTTCTGTATTCTTTATAGAACTGCTTTTATTTTAGCTGCTGATAATTTCATTTTGCTTTTAAATTGACAGGATAAAAACTCATATCTGTTCAGAATGTCCAGGCAATACATCACTGTAATATGTGCAGCAAATTACATTCTGACTTTCGTCTTATTTAAATGAAAATGAATAGAGTTGATTACTCACCGAAATGTACACTGCTGCAAAGGCTGCCAGGGTGGCATGTTGAGATGGGAATGACTTTCTGCCAAGGAAGGACACTCAAATTATGTTTCTAAGATCAAATATACTGTGCTAGTGTTCACTTGAAAAAATACACTGGATGATACAGTAATTTCAGCTGGCACTTCCTAGGCAATATATGATCAATCATTAATATTTACTTTCAAGATTTCTTTTCTATCATCTGGAGAAAGAACTAATCTTAATATTTAGCATGGAATTATTTTTGTGTGCTAAGCATGGTAGGTATACTATGAGTGTGAATGAGCTCTAGACTGGATGCTTGATTTTAAGAGGGACATTTCTCTAAATTTGTTTTTATAGATAAATTTCCATAATAACTCTTATGCGTGTTTCTAATTATACAAAATATTTAATGAGTGAACCTGGTTCTTATGATTACTCCTACTGGCTTCACTTTGACACTTTGATGTAAGAACTTCTCAGCTATGTATACAACCTGGATAGTCAGTCCCTACCTTCATCTTTATTTGCTCTTTTTGGTCTTTTTTTTTTTTTTTTCTTTCTTAATTTTATCATTTCATAACACAGTAGGAGTTAACAGAGCGCAAAAACATGGAATGACTTTTTAGATGTTAACAAGTTCCTTTCTGAAGCACAGAACAAGAGTGTAAATGAAAATTTGTCCAAACTATGTGGCAGTAGGCAAAATCTTATTTTTCTTATTTTTCTTCTAAACCCGTTTCTTTCTTTTCTTCTAAACCCAATTGGCTAAAAGTAAATTAAATTAAAAAAAAAAAAAAAAAAGGTGAGAATGTAAAGAAGAGATTTTACATAGCAGAGGCAAAAATTTAGCTGGGTGTGGATTCAGTAACAGCTATTCTATGAGAGACATCTAGTTCACGGCTTGCGGAAGCCCTGAAAAATTCTGAGCTCTAGAAGTGAGTACTTCAGATGTGTATCAGTTTACAGCTGTACATTTTTCTCTTTAAATGGCATGGATGTGTAACATACTGGCTGCTTTGGTGAAGAAGAGTATGTCTTTCCTGCAGTCACAGGAGCCACTTTCACCTGAGACAGGCTGAAATAGAAAGCTCAGCTTGGGATAAATGCTTCAACAATCATTCAAGGTGGTTTTTGAGAATCTAGCTGGGCTGCATGTTTCTGCATCCATTTTTTCTAGCAGCACCGCAGCTAAGTTAAAATAGCAGAGATTGAAATATAGTCCTTTGCTCTTAGATGTTTTTCTGCAAAGGAGCAGATTCTGGTTTCTAAATTTATTTCTTATGTATTCTGCTTTGTCTGTTCTAAATAATTCATTCGTAATGAAATGTGTGAATGTAGGTCAGTGTGAATGCCACACTGCTGACCTGAATTTGAGCTCATGGCTCCAGCAGCTCCTTGACTCCGGCCAAGATAAAATCAGTATGATTCTTTTTTTCACTTACAAAGACAGACCAATTTTTTTCTTCTCCTAAGCAAGCCTTTCTCAGTTTGTGTCCCTGGTTCAGGGGAGGGCAAGGGGGTAAATATATGAAAAAAATACAGGTGCATATAATGTCTATCAACTCCTTTACTCTGTGCAGGTTTTAGTATAAGCATATATTTACTTACAGTCTCTGTGGAGTTATTCTGTAGGTTTGATTCTATGAAGTTTGGTACCACTCAGAACTTAGCCTAAATTTGATGGCATTTTGCTGGTAAGATACGTCACTATGCTACAGTCAGTTTTCTGTTTGTTCTGTTTTCTATTCACATGCTTTTAGAGCTAGCACAGTATGTGCACTCTGTGTACTTTCTAATGGTGACACTGCTTTTGCTCTTTTCAATTTGCTATCTGTTCATCTAAAATGAAAATAATTCAAGCTAAAAATATGTAGGCTTTTTGCTTGGCTCTTTATTGAGGAGGTGAACAAAGATCTCAAAGAATACATGCCCTGGGCTCATGAGACAGTATATCACTCTGAGTGCTCATGCATGAGGAATGCATGGGGGGGGAATAATGATTAGAGAGTCATACTGAGTCAGAACATCAGAAACAACAGAGGATAAAGATCTCACTGGAGATCTGAATAGAAATGATTGAAAGAATTCTTTGAAGATTAACAGAGGAAAAAGGATGAAAGAAAAAAGGTACTGCAGAAAATTAATTCATAAGGGAGTCTAGAGAAGAATTTCTAGAGCCAAAATTTCTAGAATGTACAAATTTAAAAATGAAGGCCATTATAAATGTCATAAGAACAAGTCCCTTAAAAACTGAAATTGCTGAAGTAAAATTAATCTCCTGAGCTAGAGAAGTTATATTGTAACTCCCATACTAGGTGACTGAAGGAAGTACTGAACCAGTAGCAACTGCTGTTTGCTTTGCTGAAGTTGTCACAATTATATGAAAACAAGAATTTGATAAAGGAAAATGACAATAAAATTTTAGTAAGGCGAAATCGAGGGTGGGATCAGGTGTGTCAGAGTATTAAGCAAATATGTTCTCTGTGATAGGAGTGAATTTGACTTATTAGTATATGGTTGTCTTCCTAAGAAATAGTAACACAAAAACCCACTGCTTAATCTTATCTGCTACAACTATTTCACTGGTGTGTTTTGTTTTGTTTTGTTTTAAGTGGTGATATTTAAACAAATATGATTGGAGTTTTTGGAATGGCTGCAGACAGCCAAATCAGGGCATTGTGTTTGAGATGATAACAAAATGAATGAGAGCAATTGAGAAAATTTTCCTTCCTATTCAACCTGTAAATGTGCAGCAGTTTCACTGGGAAACTGTGTAGTTGCAAAAGATTGCTTGCAAACATCCGGATTCAATGGCAGTATCACAGTAGCAGCAGATGGTTACAGGAGAGAGGTGAAGGCCAAATTATTTAAGCCAAATGAAGATACAATCATGCCCAGATACATAAATAACAAAGATGGCAAGTGAATCAGAGTACGAGCCTCAGCCGACCAAACATATTTAAGATCAAATAAATAATTGAGAATCTTTAAACGTTAGTGAAATCGGCTTGTTTCAGTGAATAGAGTCAGATTAGGAAATCTGCTGTAAGATACTTTACAGAGTGAGTGATTTCATGGTTCTGAAGTATGTCAACCACTGAAATCAATGTACATAGATTGCTCTGAAAGTAGTGCCTCCTATTTATTTCCATAGAAACTGGAACAGTTATGAAGAACTCCATAACCCTATTTGATAGAATATATTCTCAGCTACAAAACACTTTTTTTCCCCCCTACATAATCACTACCGTTAGCTATGTGTTTTTGTCAGAAATGAACAAGAGCCTGCAAGCTGGGCTTGGAAAAATCTGTACCAGTGGAGATGACCCATTGTCACCACTTCTGAAATGCACCATCCACTACTCGCTGTGCTCACATCCAATAAGAGTGTCCATAAATGTTCAGCACACATCAGTGAATGTCTGTGAGTGCCATTTTTTTTCTGCATAGGGGGATTCAGTAACACACCTTTGCTTCATACACACTTCCATGTCAGACACCACTTTGTTAGACTGTCCTTCTGCTGCCATCTGTCACACAGCAAAAAAATGTAATGGAATATTGGTGGGAAGGTTCAACCTCTGCTAACACTTGCCTCTGATGTCATGGGCCAAAATAATAAAATAGGAAGCATTACTTTCCAAACAACCCTTGTAAAAGCAAATAAACTAGGAAAGATATGCCTTGGTGATACAGACAAAACATTTTAATAATATCCATGTGACAAAAATGCAATGCTATAAGGCATAAAGTTAAAACAGAAACTAGCATCTTGACCTGCACAGAGAACCACAAAAGACTGCAAAGCTTTAGTGAGGTGGACAGGACAGAAGAAAAGAATACTGCTTTCATGCCTGCTAATTGGATACACAAGAAAATTATGCATCTCAGTCAGTAATAGAAATCATCATCATTTCAAACATTCTGTAATTCTGCTGTAATATTATTAGAGAGCAGGACATTTTTAAAAAGCACCATATGGAAAAATTTTGAAGGACTGCAAAAAAATGCAAAGAAATGTGATATAAATGACTAACAAGAGCTTAAACTGGTGTGGAAAAGACAAGACTGCTATTGTATTCAGTGAAGCGCTTTGTGATTTCTCCTTTGAAGGAAAGAAAATAATTAACTACTTTTAACATGCTTCTGAATCTGACAAAGATTTCCAAAGCCCACAGTTGGCCTAATGTCTTCATAAAGAAAATTAAACATCACTAAACAATGCTAATGTTCTCTGCTTTATTACTTAAAGCAAAAAGCAGAACTCATACAGACTTTATCTAGAAAAAGATAGAACCAACCTTCCAGCGTTGATAATATTAGCATCAGCTCCTGAGCATATATCTTCCACAACATATGAGTTCTCTGAGCAGGATACGTTTAAGGATGTATAGTTAGGCTTGCAGACGGTCAGGAAATATGGTGCTTGATATCCTGTTGATAGCTGTATAATATCAGTAACAAGAGCAGTAGAACAAAGACCAAACACATGAACACCTAGGAAATAAAGCAATAAAGGTTGTTAAGTTTATTGTATTTATAAATTAAATGAGTCATTGTCTAAAATGCACTCAACATTTTACAGAGATCTGTGGCTCCTGTAATTGGGCTTGTAAGAATTCAACTGTAGCATAAGATCTGTTTCCTTTATGGAATCTTATTTCAGATGAATTCTTTAATATAAAAATTAAGATTATTTATGCTTGTTTTCTTCCTATGGATACTTAATATTTAGTTTTGATGACCTGATATCCTCCAATATATTTTTTTCACAAAACTAAACTATATTGGAGCTGCTTCTATTTAAAAAACAAATTTTAACTGTCTGTAGTACAACCATCTATTTAAGTGGAGCATATGTGCTCATTCTGTGCTTGGATCTGCCCATTGGAACGTTTTATGTTTTAATAACACAACTGCCTATAGAACACTGCTCTGAGAACCTGATCTCTCTTTATTATTAGGGACTCATCAGCTGTCAATAACTTTGGCGTATTTTCACACGTTACATTTCTTGAGTACCAAGTCCTCACCACAATTACAAAAATTTTTCTTTGTCAATGATCTATGTTATGATCCTGTCTGATTAATAATATCAAATTCACAAAGCAGCTAATTCAACTTTTTAACTGAGCATTTTCTAATTGCTGTTTCCCTAAGGATCTACCTCTATTTCTCTACTTGTATTTATATCAAATTTTCATCTCAAACCTAAAAGAATTCTGAAGTAATTGTTCTACCAAAAATAAACTACAAATCCAGGGTATGAATCAAAGATGAAAGTAAAGCATCCTTGAGCTTTCTTTGGTAATGGAACAGGATGCCATACTGGAGAAGCTCTTCTTATGGCTGCGACCTAAAACCCCCTCTGCTCACTGCTGCTCTTAGCAGGATCTGCTTTATTGGCCATATATATAACTTCTCCTAGCATTGTCTTCCTGCTTGCCAGCCTGTAGACACCTAACATGTAGTCCACCTAGGAAGTTTTCAGTCTGCTGTCCTGCAGCCTGTCTTTGCATATGTTGCCCTCACTGATGAAAACTTTCTGGAACAGAGACAACCTTTCCTTTAGCCATTCATTGGCAGAGGGACTTAATTGTGAGAGTGGAGCAAAGTTCAGCCAGCCTTTCAATCTCCACTTTATTAAATACAGAAATAATGCAATTCATCACATCCCTCTCTATCATTATGTTGCCAGATTCTAGCCCTTTTTCAAGAGGTAGATAAGCATGTAACAGAAAAAGAATATCAGGTCTACTGACAGGTTCTAACAGGTTGTTACTGTCATGCTGAATGCTGTATCAGCTGGGTTGAATCCTTTTGATACACTGAAGACAGGCAGGGGAAACTATGCACTGAAACCGTTAAAAGGAAGGCAGTGCAAAGTGAGCAGAGAAGGAAAAGCAAACAATTATTTTAGAAAGACTGACAGTGGACTAGAAGAGGAAAGGGAAAATGGAGAACGTAGATACTACTTTGCTGAGTGCGGGGCTGCTTTCTTGCTTCCCCTTGACAGTTTCTTCTCACGTTTTCTGGCAAAAAAAAAAAAAAAAAAAAAAACAAAGCCAGTGACAGCCCTGCAACTGTTCTGAAAGGCTGTTTCAGAAAAGGAAATCTGCATGGTGGAAACTGAATGTACACAGAAGGCTCTTCTTTGTGAGTAACATTTGAAACCCACCAACAAATCTGACAGCTCTTCTAAGAAATGAATTGAAGTTGCATCCTCCTGCATTAATATTGGCCTCTGTTCCAATCCCATTTCTTCTTTTGGACAGGCAACAGTAGAGAATTCCTTCTCCTACCATTATCTGCAATGACAAAGAAGCTCTTAATTTAGATGTAGCAATTACTCATAAGACAGCAGTAGAATTTAAAGGGCTGAAAAATTACTCGGACACAACTGATATTTTCCACTGACACGTACATTCCTTGAAAAGGAATTTTACATATTGTGTATCAATATGTAAACATTCAGTAATGCAATTTAGCCTGTGTGAAAGTGGCACTGACATTAAATCCAAGCACCATAAAGTTTTGAAAGGAGACCTTTTCTTTTATTAATATGTTTGTGTAAAGCTCTCAGTGGAATTGGAGCCTTGATCCACAGCAAAAATTGGATTCTTCTACAGTAAAAACATAATGATCAGCAATTCTTGCCTTTCACGTGATCCAGAACCACAGCAATATCTTAACTCTTCTTAAGGTGGTTTTAGCCATCAGTTTTGGCTTCGTGCCTAGTATTTACTGTCAGCTTCTAATTATGTGGTAGCCTAATCTTCCATAATTATTTAATTTGGCTTGGATTTTAACCAGGTCCACAGCAGTAGAATAAATTCTGTCCTTATGCTCTGAAAAGAGATCATGACTTAAGACACAGGCAATTGTAAACAGAAATAAGAAGAATATAAGTGAAAACAAAGTGTTATTTGCTGGAAAATGTGGATCTATTTATAGTTTTTCAGTCTCAGGTTTTATTGGTTTTCCTGTTAAGTATTGCAGCTTGAAAATCTGTGTGGGGCTTGTTAGAATTCAGAAAAAAATGATGTGTTGAAATATTCAAATGGAGGGGGAAGTTCTCACCACTACGAGAAAAAGTCATAGTCTATCAGCAGATGAGAAGTAACGTAGGCTTTGCACAGGGCGTACAGTACAATTAAATGCTAAAGCATCTGAATTCAGAAGAGTCTGACATTGTAATGATCCATGTTTCTGCACACTAAGATCTCTCACTGGCATTTCCTATGCTTTATGAATACATATAGAAAATTTCTCAAATCCCACAAGCTGTAAGACATATGCCAATAATACACGTGGTAATTTTCTGTATTATTTTTGGGCTACAGTACAGACCTGGTTAAAAGCAGTTGCTACTCATTAATAATGTATCACCAAGCTGCTCATATTCTGACAAGAGTTTCTGTTCTGCTGAAATCATCTTCTCCCTTTGGACGAGCCATTAAACCAGTCTCCTTCTGTCTGCTCTTAACAACTAACTCTCAATTCAGATGTGTCCCAGTGCAGTTTGGGAGAATGAAATTGAGTTCACAGACAAGGCTGATACACCTTACTGAGCAAAGCTAGTTCTAAAAAAAGTGATATGTTCAGTGCAGTAAACTTAAAGCTGCCAATAAAAAAAAAAAAAGTGATCTTTTAAAGTGTTGTATCAGTTTCTTATGATACTCTGTCTGTAAACAGTTATTAATATTGTACAGCATTAATGAATGATTATAACTATTTTCACTCAACTGTTGATGCTTTTTCTTAACTTAGTACCTGCAGTTAGGATAGTGTAAATGAAGTGCTACAGGGAATGCTCTAAGAGCTGTGCATCTCCTTTTGCTATAGGAGGATAAAACTGAATTTAAAATCCTAAAGTAATTAGTTTGGGTGATACCCTGCAGCCTAACTGGAGACAGAGCACTTACTTTCTTTATGCCATCTGGAACCCTGTTCAAAATCTTCAGTAACTAATGGTGCACCTCAAACTTACCGTAATTGATGGTCCAGCAAAAACCAGACTAAGCAACATCAAAAAGGGAACTGCTTCTTGTGTAGGTTCAATATATGGCATACTCAGACTCTTGTCGTAGCAATTAAATCCAGAGTGAACTGGCTTGAAGACATCAGTAAGTTCAAGAAAATACAGGCTAACAACAGAAGATGCCAATATGGGCAACTAGAAATGAAGAAAACAAAAAATTATAGAATAGCATTGTATTTGCAGAGACAACATTCTTAATAAATCACTGTCATGTTTGCTGTTTACATCCCACTGCTCCTTACTATATTTGTTTTACCTTCTATAAATAATCAATTCTCTAGAGATATTATACTGTTCAGTTGATATCAAGTAACTCTGTTGTCTACCAAGCTATTTAAAATACCCATTCCAATTTTCAGCCCACATAATTCAGCGTTTTCATCCATGAATCATTAATGGACAGGCTTTAAATTTAATTTTGTTTTTAAAAGTAAGTACAGTAGTGCAATCTCCTCTGTGAGGTGTCAGCTTTCTGCTGTTCATCCTCACCCTTTTTGGTAATTTAGTTGCCATACATATGGCAGTATTTATACCCAAACCAATTTTTATTAAGATTCACAGTAAAATTTAAAGAAAAATACAAGATAATAGAGTGTTTTGCCTTGGTACATTCATTTTGTAATTCCATCAAAAAGCAATTACTTTTGATAAGATTCAGTCTGTGTAGAATATGATGACTGTATTCACAGTTCTTTTATCCTCTAGCTACCAGTGAATTTAACTTTCACAGTTGCTTACAGTAATTTATTAAGACTTTAGTTAGCTTTCCTGGGATAAATTTACCCCAGCTTACCACTATCTTCTGAAAACACAGATGCAACCAGTAATTCTTACAAGAGAAGCAATAGCAGAAAGACCTTTTGAAGCCATTGGGTGATGAGTAGATAGGGCAGCCCCTTCCCTAGGATGGCCAGTGGGAAGGGTGACTAGTAGCATGTGCGATTTCTCTGCATCCTATTAGTGAATGCAGAATAAATGATCAGAATTTTGGTTTGTTTGTTTATCATTTTCCAGAGTTCTCAGTCAACAAGGCAAGGTTGCAGCCAGTACCTGTGCCTCCTCTGCAATTCAGTGACTCCTTTCGTGTCTGTAATAATTAAGGTACCTATGGATAATGTTAACTGCCTGTCTGCTTTCTTTCCTCTTTTATTTTTATTTTGGCTATCACATTAACTTTTCCTTTTTATTAACTGCTGCTGAAAAGGAGAAGCTTGAAACCACTGAATACATTTGCTAAGACAGATAGAATAATAACAATCAGATAAGGCTACATCATACATTTTGAGAAAAAAATACTTCTCTTTTACATCAAGCACCTCACATTGAAAGGAATATGAACTCTCCTGACATCATTTCAGGCATTATGAAACTATATTACCATTGCAGTCTTCAGTATTTACAAACAATTAAAATTAATTGCTTGATTAAAATTGGTATCATTTATCCCATTCTATATTAACATTAAAAAAAGTGATAAAACTGGATAAATATGTGTACTGGAAAAATGATGAATAAAAACTTAAAAAACTTTTAAAAATGTAAACTGTATACGGCAGAGGGACAATGATTTCTTGCATTCCTTAGCTATTTTCAGGTTTTCAAACCTTGTGATTTCTAAATGTAGAGTTTTTTGTACATAAAATGTGATTTTGTTGGGTTAGGAAAGAAGGATACTTGCTAAATTTCTCTGAAACACACTTTTTAGTACACCTTAGGATCTGTTTGAAGTGAACAGATTCTGCTATTGCCAACAGTGTTCTTCTGAACTGAATCTTCTGAAGGTGAAAAACATAAAATTTTGTCTGCTGCATTATCTTGGCTCACATTGATTCCATAGTAATCTTACCTAGGTAGAGAAGCTGTGATTGCATAGAAGGGGAATGTTTATTGGCACCCTAAGTGAAGCTAAGTGCTATGAACACTGAAAAAATAAGACTAGGCGTCTAATAAGTTTGCTTCAATAAGTAGTTTATGTATACTTAATATATAGGTATACTTAACAGTTGGTCTTGTTGATCCTTGTGGGTCCCTTTGAACCTGGGATATGCTCTAACTCTGTGATATGTGCACTGAAATACTGTATTAAAAAATATATATATATACAATGTGTAACAATGTGTAACGTAGTAAATACACAAAACATAACGTTGAAATATATATAATAATAATGTGGATACATGTCATATAGCATGACATACATTTATTTCAGTTATGTTGGAATAATTATATAAAATGTAACTAAATTGAGTTCTGCTTCCTACTCATTACAGGAAGATGTCTGATTCTTTAGCTGTATGAATAATTCCTTGATTCTCACTTCCTGCTGGATGTAGTCCCTATTGACTATACAGCAGACCTGCATGATTAGTTACCATGACTGTTTCTAGTCATTATACAGGTGTACAGAGATAAAAGAGGACCTCCCTAAAGTCTTTGTGCTTCTCATTTTTTTTTGTTTGTTTGTTTTGTGGAACTGTGCAGAGACTGTGCAATTATTTGTGATAAGGTGACTCCTGTACAGAAGGACACTTCCCTGGTGTGTGGGGTCTGGCACAGTCTCTCTTGTTCTTCCTTGTACATTGAGACTGCAAAGCATTTGAATTCATGCACACAGCAATTTCAGTTCTGCACAGCATTGCACTGTTACGGTATTTGCGATGTCTTTTATTATTACCTATTTGAAAGTCATACCTAAATGGCTTGGCCAGAGTCAGGGTCCCAGTGAGCTAAATGGCCAAAATGAGAAAAAAGGTCCAGTACCCTTCTGATATCTCTTCACCTAGGCTTCCCAACAGGTTAATTTCCTGTGGTAGAAATGCAGGGCAGGAAGATGCATGGAGCACCTTGCACTCAGAGTTTCATCTTCAGCGAGTAATCTTCCTTTATTCTGACATCAAGAAAAGGAAAGCCTCTCCTGAGCAACAGGACCCTAACTTACCCATAAGTCCATCTGTGCTTTGGTTATGGTATTCTTAGGCAAGCAACTGTTTCAAGCAGTAATACTGAACAATCATAAGTAGATGGCATCTGAGGTGACATTTTATTGTGAATCACTGAAATATGAGATGCAGACAACTTTTTTTTTTTAAGTTGCTGTATGTTAGCTGCAATCATATTGTCAATTACAAAATTTAAGGAATCGTGACAATCCATTTCACTGTCTTACAGCTCCACTACAGGACTCCTATATTGTTTCTGACGGTAATTAACCACTCTTCTAAAAGAAAAGAAATAACTCTAAGGGACTATGAATCCCCAACACAGCTGCTTACAATTCTAATGAATAGGCTATAGTCAGTTTGCTATATACAGTATGTCAAATCCCACAGGAAATTTTTCCTCCTATCTTCTTTAAACTATTAATATAAAATTCATTTTAAAAAAAGGCCAGAGAAAATTGAAGATTTCTAAAACCTACAAAACAGTATAAGTGGCTATTTAATGTATGAATATTTATGGACTGTTCTCCTTAAGGCAGCAATAGTTCCATAATTACAGACTTCAGCTCCCAACACCTTGAAAATGCCAAATATAATTAAGATGTTATAATGTGTATTGTTTTAATTACAAAATGGAACAGGAATTTTCCTATTCCTAAGCAGAAAAATAAGCTCCCCATACATATACTCCATATATATACTCCTACTTTCTTGATTGGCTGTTGGGGTAAGATCCTTGTTTAGCGTGTAAATGAATAAATATATCTGTGAATGTAGAGTTTGACCCAAATGGCCAAATTCCCTTCAGCATGGGAGGGAGTCAGGACTGTAATCAGCGTAGTAATCAACACTGCTACTGAAAATAGTCTGATTTGGAGATTTTTGGTTGTTGTTTTTTCTTTTTTTAAGTAGTATTTCTCCTTTTCATTTTGTAATTTTTCAACAATTAAAAGGCTTTATTAAGCATTAATACTAATGCATTCCAAAGGCCTTGCTAGATGTAGTATGATGTTTATGATTTCTTCTTACTCTAGGATGCAATTGGGTTCATTTTTATGTTTGCAAATATTCTTTCACATCTTGCTTTTCCTCTTCTTGATCTGTGTGTTCATATTACATCCCCGTGGTTTACATGGTGTACATTGTTTTTGCACTTTGTTACTGTTAAATTAGTTTTAACAGTTTCCACTTCTTTATCTGACTGCTGGCGGAGTTGTTAGCAGCCTTCAAGATATCCAATACCAACATATGCCCCAACTCCTTGTCCTACATCTGTACTTCTATATGTTGTACTCTCTATAATGCAGGAATAATAATAGATATCTTGCAAACGAGGCCAAGCCTTAGTGGGGAAATCCTCTTATTGGAGTGAATCATGGAATCATAGAATGCTCTGGGTTGACAAGGACCATAATGATCATTTAGTTTCAACCCTCCTGCCATGGGCAGGGTCGCCAGTCACTAGACCAGGCTGCCTAGAGCCACATCTAGCCTGGCCTTGAATGCCTCCAGGGATGGGACATCTGTCTCTGAATAGCATGAGGCTGTCCTTTGGTCAGCTAGGCATCTAGGGCATTCAGTTTTGCCTCTGACCTTCCGACAAACACACTCTCATTCTGAGGGAAACATTGAAGTGTTTGCTGTGGAGTTAAACATAGGATCTTTACTATTCCATGGAGTCTCTACAAAGCTCTAATTTCTAATTGAAGGAGATTTTGAATCCTCCCCTTGGAGAATTCCCAAATGATCAATACTTCACTGTAATCAGGTTTTCTCTGCAAGTGTCATAAAAAGTCAGTGGGAATTAGATATTGAAGCATCCTAAATAACACAATTGAGACAGAGAGGCTCAAACAACAACAACAAAAAAAGGTGCAAATAGGTATTACCCTCTACTCCCATCCCTATTTCTACTCTACATTAAAAGAATATGCAATTGGATACAAACATTATTTAAATCTCTATGAAAATTAGTAGATTCTACAAATTTTCTTTCCCTAAAACTGCATGCTTGTAGTTACACATCTAATTTTCACTTTTGCCAGCACATAACTAGGCAGAGTCCGTATGTATCTTCAAGAGAATATCTTCAAATCCATGAGCTTTTCTGAGAGTGTAACCAAGGAGTATCACACATTCAGATGGTTAAACAAACTCTCTGGGATGCAGCTTTATGACCTTTTTTTGCCTTGCTTAAATGCATTACAGGTATTACCTTTTTTCATGAACATCCAGATCTTGTCTTGTATTAAACTATGTTAGTGGCTACCAGCAGACATTTTGAATATAAGTTACAAACATGATTAGCATGGGCTATATTTCAGTCAAGCAAATTGGGAAAAAATGAGATGCCTCTTGTGCTTTAATAGATAGATACTGATGTTTTGGTGCAGTGTGATAACCAGAATGATTAAGTGATTCTTTGTGAGGCAGGATGCAAGCACAAAGGCTGTGGAATTCATTTGTTTTACCTGACTATGTATGACAGGCAGAAAAGAGAGCAGCAGGATCTGAGGAACCAAGCCGCAATTAGCCAGAAGTGGAATAAAGACAGTATGGCTATCACACATGTCAGAGTGCATTAAGGGGCACTTGGTAGGATACTTGGATATATTTGGAAATAACTTCTGGACTCAGGTGGCCAATGAATTCTTCCATTGTTAGGTTGTTCTGCAACTCTTCCACAACAGGCAAAGAATTCTTTCAATCAGGTGATCAGGAAATCTATTTAGGCAAACAAGTAAATACACAGAGGATTGCCACAGAGATATGACTAATGAATGCCACCGGTTTCTCATTAAATCAATAGCAGACAAAGCATTTGGAAGAATGATGGTCTATTTAATAATTACGTTGTTTTCACTGCAAGGCTGTGGAATTATGGGAGATTCTATTAAACTGTATTATAAATGTCAGTCCTCATGATAAGGACTTCATGGTCTAAATGATAAGGCACAGTAGATGGATGAGACAAAGAGAGGGCTATGGTGGGGTGGAGGAGGCAAAGTATGTCTATTCTTAGCCAGCTGCCAACAGTGATTGCAGCTTTCAATCTCTGTGGCTGTTGTCCTGTTGTACTTTGCTGAGAGCTTCTTGAGACAGAAGGACAGGTTTCTTTTATCCTGTCAGGAATGAATACTGAGGTCATGACTATCATGTCTG